GCCCCAGCATACATATGAAGCAGATGTGACCTTTCCCTTTCTTGTGAGGACTCCCTACATCTCCGAGTGGCAGGCTCTTGCCAAGGCCCATCACTTTCCAGTCTTTACTCCTGGATCCCTCTAGTACAGGCATACCTTGTTTTATTGTACTTTGCTTTATTGTGCTTCACAGATAATGCTTTTTTTTTTTTTTTTACACACTGAAGGTTTGTACCAACGCTGTGTTGAGCAAGTCTACTGGCACCATTTTTCGAACACCATTTGCTCACTTTGTGTCTGTGTTACATTTTGGTAATTCTTGCAATATTTGTTATGACCTTTTAAGTTTGAACCCATTCTTTACTCCCTCCCCCCCCCATTTTAGATATATAGTTTCATATTTTATATAGTTTTATTTTGCAAATCCCTTGACTGATTTTACAGATATACTTATTTTTATTGCTTTTGTTTTTTATATTCTTAATTATTGTCTTTCCTTTCCACTCAAAGAGTCCCTTTTAATATTTCATGCAGGGCTGGTTTAGTGGACATGAACTCCTTTTGTTTTTGTTTATCTGAGGAACTCTTTCTCTCTCCTTTTATTCTGAATGAGAGCCTTGGGGGATAGAGAATTCTTAGCTGCAGATTTTATCCTTTCAGTACTTTGACTATACCATGCCACTCGCTTCTGGCCTGCAAAGTTTCTGCTCAAAAATCTGATAGTTTTATGGAGTTTCCCTTGTATGTAATGGTCTTTTCTCTTGCTGCTTTTAAATTTTTTTCTTTATCACTACTTTTTGCCATTTTAATTACTATGTGTCTTGGTGTGGACCTCCTTGGGTTGATTTTGTGTGTGTGTGTGGGGGGGTGTCTCTGTGCTTCCTAGATCAGGATATCTGTTTTCTTCCCCAGATTTGGGAAGTTTTCAGCTATTATTTCTTCAAATAAATTTTCTGCCCCCTTTTTTCTCTTTTCTGGGATCTCTATAATATTGACGTTCTTACACTTGATGGAGTCACCGAGTTCCCTAAGTCTATTCTTACTCTGCATAATTCTTTTTTCTCTCATTTGTTCAGCCTGATTACTTTCCATTACTCTGTCTTCCAGGTCATTAATTTGTTCCTCTGCTTCCTCTAATCTGCTATTTATTCCACCATGTACATTTTAAAATTTCATTTATTGTATTCTTCATCTCTGATTCTTTTTTATCTCTGTGTTAAGGGTTTCACTGATGTTCTCCACTCTTTTCTCAAATCCAGTAAATATCTTTATGACCATTACTTTAAATTCTCTATCAGGCATATTATTTATATCTGTTTCACTCAGGTCTCTTGCTGTGGTTTTGTCCTGTTCTTTCATTTGGGACATATTCTTCTGTCTCATTTTGTCTAATTCTGTGTCTGTTTGTGTGTTAGGAAAATCAGCTACATCTCTTGCTCTTGAAAGTAATGGCCTTATGAAGAAGCAGTTCTGTAGTTCCCTAAAGCACAGTGTGCCCTGGACCTGGCACTTCAGGGGTGTCTCCTATATGTGTTGTGTGTGCCCTCTTGTGTCCTGGCCTCTTTTTCCTTCAGTACAGTCATCTGCAGAGGCTCTCTTTGCCTATTGTGGGCAGTGTTTGGTCCCCAGCCAGGGAAGGGGTGTGTTTTAACAAGGTCTGCACCGGTCTGCTTGCAAAATGAGACCTGCTGCCACTGCTGCCAGGAGAGGCCAGCCCAAACGGATCTGCAAAGTGTGCACGGTCGGGGCACTCAACTGTAACAAGGCATCCCTCAGGCTTCCACAGGGCCCGCTGCAGCTGCCATCATAGTCATTGCTGCAGAGACTGAAGCCCTGCAAAATGCAGGAATTGGGAGATGTGGTGCTGCTGAAGTTTGTGCCTGTCTTCTTTATCAAAGACCTTTGATATTATTGTAACCATTTTGGGGTGCCATAAAACACACCTGCTGAAGGCAGCAAACCTGATAAATATATGTGTTCTGAACACCACTGACTGGCCATTCCATCTCTCTTCCTGTCCTCAGGCTTCTCTATTCCCTGTGACACAGTAATGAAATAATAAGGCCAATCAATAATCCTACAAAGGCCTTAGAAGTTCAAGTGAAAGGAAGAATTTAAATCAAAAGCTAGAAAGATTAAGCTTTGTGAGGAAGGCATGTTGAAAGCTGAGATAGGCTGAATGCTAGACTTCTTGTGCCAAATAGCCAAATGCAAAGGAAATGTTCTCGAAGGAAATTAAAAGTGCTACTCCAGTGAACACATGAATGATAAGGCAGTAAAACAGCCTTATAGTTGATATGGAGAAAGTTTTAAGTTATCTGGATAAAAGATCAAACCAGCCACAACATTCCTTTAAGCCAAAGCTTAATCCAGAGCAAGGCTCGCTTCAATTCTAAGGCTGACAGAGGGGAGGAAGCTGCAGAAGAAAAGTCTGAAGCTAGCAGAGGTTGGTTGATGAGGTTTGAGGAAAAAGCTGTCTCTATAACATAAAGTGTAAGGCAAACTAGCAAGTTATCCAGAAGATCTAGCTAAGATAATTAACAAAGGTGGCTACACTAAATAGCAGATTTCCAGTGTAGACAAAACATCCTTCTATTGGAAGATGACACCATCTAGGACTTTCAAAGCAAAATAAGTCAGTGCCTGGCTTCAAAGCCTCAAAGGACAGGCTGACTCTCTCTGTAGGCACTATTGCAGCTGCTGACTTTGTTGAAGCCAATACTCACTGACCATTCTGAAAATCCTAGGGCCTTTAAGAATTATGCTAAATCAACTCTGCCTGTGCTCTGTAAATGGAACAACAAAGCCCAATGATAGCACATCTGCTAACAACATGGTTTACTGAATATTTTAAGCCCATCGTTGAGACCAACTGTTCAGAAAAAAAGATTCCTCTCAAAATATTACTGCTTATTGACAATGCACCTGGTCACCCAAGAACTCTGATGGAGAGGTACAATGAGATGAATGTTGTTCTCATGCCTGCTAACACAACATCCATACTGCAACCCATGGGTCAAGGAGTCTTTTCAACTTTCAAGTCTGAATATTTAAGAAATATGCTTCATAAGGCTATAAGTGCTATCACTAGTGATTCCTCTGATAGATCTGGGGAAAGTAAACTGAAAACCTGGGAATGATTCACCATTCTAGGTGCCATTAAGAACATTCATGGTTCATGGGTAGAGGTCAAACTATCAACATTAACAGGATTCTAGAAGAAGTTGATTCCAACCCTCATGGACGACTTTGAGGGATTCAAGACTTCAGTGGAGGAAGTCACTGCAGATATGGTGGAAATAGCAAGAGAACTAGAATTGGAAGGAGAGCCTGAAGATGTGACTGAATTGCTGGCAATCTCCTAAGAAAACCTGAATGGATGAGGAGTTGCTTCTTACGGATGAGTAAAGAAAGTGGTTTCTTGAGATGGCTTCTACTCCTGGTGAAAAGGCTATGAAGACTACTGAAATTAGCACAAAGGATTTAGAGTATCACATAAACTTAGTTGATAAAACGGTCACAGGGTCTGAGAAGAAAGACACAATTTTGGAAGTTTTACTGTGGGTACAATGCTATCAAACAGCACGGCATGCTACAGAGAAATCATTCATGGAAGGAAGTGTCAATCAATGCAGCAAACTTCATTGCTTTAAGAAACTGCCAAGCCACCCCAACCTTCAGCAACCCACCTCCCTGATCATTAAGCAGCCATCAACATGGAGGCAAGACCCTCCATCAGCAAAAAGATTACAAACTGCTGAAAGCTGATGATGGTTAGCACTTGTTAGCAATAAAGTATTTTTTAATTAATGTATGTACATTGTTGTTTTAGACATCACACTTAATAGGCCATAATATAGTAAAAGCCTAACTTCAATATGCACTGGGAAACCAACAAATTCATTTGCACTTGCCTTACTGGGGTGATCTGGAACCAAACCTGCACTATCTCCAAGGGATGCCTGGACTAGTGTGTAACTGCTTGTGCAGTTGATGGAGAAGCCCTGCATCGGTTCTCTCTGCCAGAACTTCAATGTACCCCAAGGTCTTAGTATTGGAGGCACTAGTTGCTTAGTCAACATTCATGCTCCCTTTCTTTCTTAAACCCCAATTCTGTTTGAGGGGACAACACTGGCACAGCTAACCATACTTCCTCAGATTCCCCTGCAGCTATGGGTGACCTTTTAACTCTGTTCTGGCCAATGGCTATTGGGAGGAGCTTCTGAGAAAACAGCTGTTTTCCTGATAAAAACGGAGAGATTCTGCCACAAGACAGTTTTTGTTGTTTTGCCTTTCACTCTTCTTTTTCCTCCCTGGAACATAGACTGGAAGCTTGGAGGTACAGCCCACATTCCTCAATGATGAGGATGAAAGCCATATCCAAAGGTTGGTGCAGGAGGAAGCCAGAGGGAGACTTTATCATTGACTTCCTCAAACAGCTGCACCAGCCTAGTTCCAGATTTCTTGTTATGAGAAAAGTAAACTATTTAGTTTAGACATTGTAATTGGGTTTCTGATATATGCAGCCAAACAATTCTAACTGACAAAGTCCTCACTTATGCCCAGTTGCTCATAGCATTTAGCTTTTAGCAGCCATTTGAATCAGAGATGGCAAAGAGTCTGGAGGGAGGAAGGGAGCTGCTTATAGAGTCCATGTTCCCTGAAAGCTCTTGATACTGAAATGTTGAGTCAAGTTAATCTTTAACATTCATTTATTTACTAAGCATTCATTAAGTAGCGATTATATGCCAGGCACTGAAGTGGGTGCTGGAAACAAAACAAAAATCTCAACCCTGGCATTTCTTCATGAAAATTTCCTTTATTGATACAGGCTGTTTTTTTTGTTTGTTTGTTTGTTTGTTTACCTTACTCCCATGGTCCTGAGAAGCCACAATGGGGAAATTTTTTTTGGCTTCGGAAAGGTACTACAATGCCACAGCGTCTTCCTATGGTTTTTAACATTATAAAAGGGAAACAAACAGGCTAATTTCTAACTCAGAGCACAAGTTCCTTCAGGTTACCTTCAAGTGCATCATCCTCCAGGTCTGCCAGCGTTGGTGCATTTGGGAGTGAATACACGGAAGACTGGTTGAGTTGAGTCAGTTTTGCGATGCTGTTAATCGCCATGCTGCCCAATGGAATGGTGTGCTCTATGGAAACATTAGCAAAGAGAAACAGTCTTATGACCATGATCATCATAAGGACTTCTGCTGGAAGAGCTTAAACCCAGCTTTTGTTTGATCCCAGGGCTGAGGAATCTGATGGAAAGTGGAAGGAAGAGCATCAATGCACTATATGCCCCAGAGCACCAACCTTTTTTAGCAATGAGTCATGGGTGACAAGACCCCACTGCATGCATTAAGGTAGACTATTGAAAAAAAATTAAAAAGGGGATGCTCAGGAAGAACCCAGAAATCAGGGCTAGGGGCCCTGTTTGAAGAGCAAAGGATCTAAAAATGTTTTTGCTCCCACTTTCCCTTGCATGAAGGGTAATAATTCCCAAAGAGGTAACAGCTTTGATTATATAACTGACCCATTCTTCTCTTCTTGTAAGCTTTCCATGATGGAAGATCACTCCCCTTCTCTCTGTCATTTTTTCTTACTCATTGCAGAGAACTTGACAGAAGACTAGAAATCAACCTTGCCTGATTCCTAGTTTTCTGTGATTAGGGTGTAAATAGGGAACAGGTAACTGTATATCTTCCTTATTTTATAGAATCCTTGTCATACAGGATGCTGGCCACTGGATGGCAAACAAAAACTTAGAAATCTGACTGCTGAAAAAAACTGAAGGCAGTAAAACAGCTGGTATACAGACTATGGGAAATCCATGCAGAACAGACCATTAAAGACGTAAACATCAGAAGCTGCCTCTGCTGTTGACTTTATCCAGGAAATGACAGAAAGGGAGATGGAAGTGGGGACAGCATAAGAAGACTAGGATTGGGAGAATTAAAGGAGAGAAGGTATTAGAATAGTGAACAGGGACTCATTCATGAAAACTTGGTGACCCGTTTCTTCTCCCTGGGGCGCTTGTGAAGGGGCTTGCCTGTCTTCATGATGTGGGTAAGGGAAAATCTGACCGCCAGTCTAGTCTCTGTCCATTCTCTCTCTCCAGACTCCAAAGGCCATGGTCATGCTTCAAAGAAAGGCTCTTGTGACAGAATGGTGGTGACAAGAATGGTTTCTGGGCTAATGGAGGAAATAATTCCAAACTAAAAGTTCATGTTAAATGCTCAGGAATAAGCTATAAAAAGTGCCTCTGGCCTGCTGTGAGAGAGAGACAGGAAGGCTTTGGGAATCATCAAAAAAAGGGAACCCAGAGGAAGAGGGCAGAGGAAATGAAGGGGAGAAGTCAGTTCTGCAGATCTGCTGTGCAGTAAAAATTACCACATTGTCAGTGACAGCATGGGAGGTGCTGGGTACTTCCTGAGGACCAAAGGAGATCTGGGGAGGTGGCTGGAATGCAGAGGCAGTAAAGGCCTCTTGTGGGCAGGGAAGTCTGTGGCAGGAATGGGCTGGACTCCAGTGGATAGAAAAGGTGTTCTTGGCTTATGAAATTTTATAGAAGTCTTCACTTAAATGTGCAGCACCACCTTTCATGTGTACGTAGTACCTGCAATTTCTGACTCTACCAAGTTATGAGTTCCCACATCTGCACATGAATGCCTGTCCTAGCCACTTTAATACTAAAGATGACAACTTGAGAAGTGAGGTGGTTGATAACTTAGGCTGGGGAGATGTGCAGGAGAGAAGTTAAAGATCTGGTGTAAGGGTTACAGCCCTAAGGTCATTGCCATGCTGGGAATGAAGGAAGTTACCCCTCTTATGACCATCAGTGGCTGTCCCTTCAGCTCACTCTGAGGAGAATGCTCTGGGGTGGAGTCATCAGAAGCTTTAAGTTTGAGGTGGTACAGGAATTTTGTGTAGTGATTAAGGTTTTCCACAAGCCCATTTCAAAAGGAAGCCTCTAAATTGAGTTTCTAGGTAAGTACCAGCTAGACTCTGGCATAGTGGGTGGTGGGTGAAGCAATGATGGCTTTGGGGAAAAAATCATAGCTTCTGGAGATTGCACTTTAGGAGAACTCATGAAAACCATACAGATACCCAAACTCTCAGCCAGGGAAATGTTACCCTACAGCAAGAAGGCTGACTCACCATCCAGCTTCACACTCCATGTCATGTGGAAGCCATTGGTCATCAGGTAAAAATTCTTCACATCCTCAGGTAGCACGCAGTTATTTTTCTAGAATCACAAAGCAGCTGAGTGTTAGGTCGGGACTGAGAAAGGGCACAGGGCTATGCCCCAAAGCAAATGGGGATACTATGTACCATGTTTTAGATCCCCCAAATGGGAAAATTTTGGTAATTACCTACAAACTCCATTAGAGAGTTCCAGTTCAAGATGGCAAAACAGAGGGCCCCTGAACTCCCCTCTTCCCATAGACACACCAAATCCACAGCTACATATGGAATAATTCCCTCTGAAATAAATCCAGAAGCTGGTTTAGCAACTCCTATACATTGGGTGAATGAGAAAAAATGCACATCGAAATGGGTAGGAGAGGCTGAGACGCAACTCACCATAAACCCCACCACTGGCGCAGCAATACACAATCAGGAGAGAACTCAGAAATCCGATCTTCCCTCTAAGGAGTGAAGGGTTTGAACCCTCTATGTGGCATACCATCTTTTAAGAGCTGCATCTGAGAGATGAGCTCCCCAGACATCTAGCTTTGAAAGCCAAAGGGGCTTGCCTATTTGGAAACTGAGAAAGAGTTCTCAAAGGGCTCATGCATGCAGATTTCCCATCCCAGGGCCTTTTATAGAGGCAGCCAACTGAAAAGTACCCAGACTTTCTTTGAAAGAGGCTTATTTGCTTATCTTATAGCATTGGCCTGAGCAGCAGTTACCTAATTTAACACATATCGACAGAAATACTCCAGAGAACGGGGAAGCTGGGGGGCACCATCTTTACACACTCTGCCTTACTCCAGGTCAGCAGTATCTCCCAGAAAAGAGCTTGTGCACCCATCTAATGCAATGGCCTTTGCATCTACTGCCCAAGGGACACACCCTTGATTACTTGGTTCTGGTGGCCAAAGGGCTTCCATTTCCAGGTCCCATAGGACTATAACAAAGAAACAGTTCTTAATCGGCTATCCCACTGATGAAGAATACTTGGAAGAAAGGCAGGCTGGGACAAGGCCTCCCACCCCCACCGCAAGAGGAAACCACACTTAAAAGGATTTTCCACCACCCTGGAAGGAGCCCTCCATCCTTTCCCCTGTGAGAGAAAGAAGACAAAAACCTGATTGCATGACAGGTGCATGGAGGGTTAATCAGATTAAAACAGCCCACCACCAATCCCATAAAGACCCCTAGACTTAGAAACTCCCGTGGCAACCCCCTCGGGTCCCCTCCCTTTTTGGGAGCTTTGTACTATCACTCAATAAACCTTGCTTTGCTGCCCCCCACTCTGTCTTGTCTTGTCTACCTCTTCATTCTTCAAAGCAGCATGACCAAGAACCGCGGGAAGGAAAAGAAATCCTGCAGCACCACCATTATCCTTCAGAATTTAAGTAGAGATAAAGTTTTCTAGACAAGCAAAAGCTAAAGGAGTTCATCACATTAAACTGGCCTTACAAGAACTGTTAAAGGGACTTCCTTAAATGGAAAAGAGAAGCCACAGCATATGAAAATTATGAAAGAAAAAAATTTCACTGGTATAAGCAACCATATACTGAAGGTAATACATCAACTACTTATAAAGCTAGTATGAAGGTTAAAAGGCAACAGTAGTAAAATCAACTATATCTACAATAATTGGTTAAGGGATAAACAAAATAATACAAGATACGACATACATAAATACAAAAAATGGTGAGGGGCATAAAAATGCAGTGCTTATAGAATGTGTTTGAACTTAAGCAACCATCAACTTAAAATAGATTGCTACATACAGAGAGTTACACATGAACCTCAGGATAAGCACAAGCTAAAAACTTTTGATACACAAAAAGCAGAGAAGGAAATCCAAACATAATACTAAAGAAAGTCACCAAATCATAAGACAACAAGAAAAGAACATGAAAGAATTACAAAACAACCTGAAAACAATTGTGGCAGTCAGGATATACCTATCAATAATTACTTTAAAGGATCTTGGGAAGAGGGTGTAGTAGGAGGACCCTGAGCTCACCCCTCCCACGTTTACAACTAGATATCATCCACAACCAAGTCAATAAACTAGGGAGTGATCGAAGGCTGGCAGAACAAACTCCACAACAAAATATAGAGAAGAAGCTACATCTGAAAGGTTAGAAAGGTGAGAAAGGTGGAGGGAGGCTGCCCATAGGAGGGAGGCAGCTGCGTGCAGGGAGAGGGCAGAGAAATGGGCCCTTGTACTAGGGAGCTCATGTGGGGAGGACTAATCCCCATAAAGTTTGGCTTGAAAACAGAGTTGCTGAATTAAGTTTGTATAACCAGTGGGACCTGGAGCCTGGAGCTTTAAAAATCAGGTGACTCAGCACTGGGCGAGCTGGGACAAGCCAAGTAGAGCCAGTACAGCTGGGAGGGCAGGTGACAGCTGGACTGCTGCCCTTAAAGGGACAGCAGCCTGAACAGACAAGCAAAATAAAGATAGCAGTTTATACAATACCAGGGGCAAATGGGAGACAGATCTGTTCATACAGATTTCTGAGCATGTTGGGGGTCTTCTCTGAAAATGAGGGAGCTGGCAGGTGGCATTTCACCCCCCCAACCATAAACACAAGGCCATCTGTGGGAGGCAGGGCATCCCATCCCGTTGCTGCATGCCTCCAGGCACTTGCCAGCCTCAGCTGCACCCAGTCATCCTTGGGCACTGCACCCAGCCACCCCTGGGCATTGCGCCCAGCTTTGGGCCTGCAGTTGAGCTGTCATGCAGCCTCCAGCTGCTATAGTGCTTCTACAAATCTGGCACTGAACTAGTGGCCCAGTGCAAATTTTGCTAATGCCACTGCCCTGCCCCCAAGTTCCCTGGCAGGCATGCACCCTCAGAGCTGGTCTGAGTCCCACTAACACCACAGTGAGCAAGCAGAGCCCAGAGCAGGCAGTCAGTGCAGACAACTGCACTGAAAATAAAAGTGATTCAGACACAACAGCAGGACATAAGCACCACATATAGGATACTCTCCTGAAGTTCCAGGTTCAGGTGCACAGGGGAGACTGCACTGCAAGACACTCCAGGACCTCTTCTTCATAAAGTCACTACTTTCTTTCTTTTTTTTTTTTTAAGATTTTATTTATTTGAGAGAGAGTGTGCACATGAGCATGGGGGAGGGGCAGAGGCAGAAACAGATTTCCCACTGAGCAGGAAGCCCAATGCAGGACTGATCCCAGTACCCTGGGATCATGACCCGAGCTGAAGGCAGACACTTAACCGACTGAGCCATCCAGGCGCCCATAAAGTCACTACTTTCAAGAGCAGAAGACATAGTTGACCTTCCTAACACACAGAAACATACAGAGAGGCAGACAAAATGAGGAGAAAGAAAAATTTAACTCAAATGAAAGAACAAGACAAGGCCATGGCCAGAGATCTAAGTGAAACCATAAGTAGCATGCCTGATAGAGAATTTAAAGCAATGACCATAAAGATACTCACTGGACTTGAGAAAAGAGTGGAGGACATCAGTGAGACCCTTAACACAGAGACAAGGAACGACATAGTAGAGATCAAGGGCTTAATAAATCAAATGAGAAATACACTTGACAGTGAACAGCACGCTGGAAGAAGCAGAGGAACAAATTAATGACCTAGAACACAGAGTAATGGAAAGTAATCAAACAAACAAGAAAAAAGCATCATGCAAAATGAGAATAGACTTAAAGAACTCAGTGACTCCATCAAAAGTAATAGCATGAGTATTTCAGAAATCCTTGAAGAAGAGAGAAAAGGGGGAAGAGAATTTATTTGAAGAAATAATCGCTAAAAACTTCCCTAATCTGGGAAAGGAAACACATATCCCGATCCAGGAGGGAGAGAAAATCACCATCAAAATCAACAAAAGCAGGGGCGCCTGGGTGGCTCAGGCGTTAAGCTTCTGCCTTCGGCTCAGGTCGTGATCCGGGATCGAGCCCTGCATCGGGCTCCCTGTTCCACAGGAAGCCTGTTCTCCCTCTCCCACTCCCCCTGCTTGTGTTCTCTCTCTTGCTGTGTCTCTGTCAAATAAATAAAATTAAAAAAAAAAAATCAACAAAAGCAGTTCCCCACCAAGACATATTATAATTAAATGAGCAAATTGTAGTGATTTAAAAAAAAAAAAAAAAAACAGCAAGACAAAAGAAGACAGTAACATACAAGGGAAAATACATAAGGCTAGGAGGGGATTTTTCAGCAGAAACTTTCCAAGAAAGACGGGAGTGGCAAAGTGCTGAATGGGAAAAATCTGCAGCCAAGAATAGTCTATCCAGTGAGCAGAATAGAAGCAGAGAGAGAGTTTCCCAAACAAAAACTAAGGGAGTTTATAACCATTAAACCAGCCCTGTAAGAAAAATAAAGGGGACTCTTTGAGTGGAAAGGAGAGACCAGTGACAGTATAAAGGCAGGAAAAACAAAATCAGTAAAAATGAATATTGCTGTAAAAAAAATGAGTCCAGGAATTCACAATTTAAAAGGATGTAAAATATGACAACATATACCTAAAACATGGAGAGGAAAAGGATAAAGAATGGATTCAAATGTAAACAACCATCAACTTAATATACACTGCTATATGCAAAAAAGGTTACATATAAACCTAATGGTAACCATATATCAAAAGTCACAGATAAATATGCAAAGTACAAAGAGAAAGAAATCCAAATATATAACTAAAGAAAATGAGCAAAACACGAAAGGCAAGGATCAGAGAAAATCTTCAGAAACAACCACAAAACAAGTAATAAAATGACAATAAATACATATCTATCAATAATTACTTTGACTGTAAATGGACTAAATGCTAAAATCAAAAGACACAGGGTGACAAGATGGTGAAAAACCAAGACCCATTTATATGCTGTCTACATTTAGACCATAAAATGTCTCATTTTAGACCTAAAAACACCTGCAGATTGAAAGGAAGGGGATGGAGAAACATCTATCATGCAAATGGGTATCAAAAGAAAGGTGGAGTAGAAACACTTATATTGGACAAAATCAATTTTAAAATAAAGACTGTAACAAGAAACAAAGAAGGACACTATATAATAATAAAAATT